TATTCACAATTGCTAAGACATGGAACCAACCCAAATGTCCACCAACAGATGAATGGATTGAAAAACTGTGGCACATATATTCTATGGGATGCTTTTGACAGAAAGTGGAAGAATATGGAAGATTTACTACTGAGTGAAGCAAGCCAGGCTATGAAGGAAAGACATTGTATGTCCCAACTTAATATATACCGAGTGTCCACATTCTATGACTGAAACTGATTGATTAAAGGATATAGAAGCACAGTAAATGGATGTGAATACCAGATATAGTGTGTGTGAAAGAGTCTGAGGAAGGGCATTTAGAAGAAAAATAGGCAAAGCATTAATGGGACAAAAGAAATATAGTATTATCAGTTGAAGATAATTTTACAGTTTTATCAACTGGACTAGGGTGAAATCTTCACATGTTGAAACATTCACTTCTTAAGCTAAATAATGTGACTGAATGTATAAAAGAAAAGGAAATAAAAATAATTTTTAAAATTCAGCTTTCCTTCTCCTTTGAGCATGATGACCTCTCCTCCTTAGGTAGGCTTCAACTGCTGAGCATCTTCCCCTCCTTAGCTGACCTTCAGCTGCTGAGCTGTGTTGCTTGTCTTCTATAAATACAGGTGGCTTTGATGGCCATTTCCTGCCTCATACTCATCTGAGATACAGCCTATAGTTACTATAGGCAATAGAAAGGCCATGATGTTTACATTCTTGGGGCTAGAAACACTGTCTCAAAACCAGCATTCTACTTTGTCTATGAATTTGACTACTCTAGGTACTTCATAAGAGTGGAATCAATCAGTGTTTCTATTGAAAGGGCATATTCAGTACTTCCTAGATGTCTTGGGAAGGGCACATTCTAGGCTTCCCAGATACTTCAAGAATTTTCTTTTTAAGGGATCAATCTTCAGACCTTTTTATGTTATCTTGGGCTGTACTAGAGAGAGAGCAGGTCTCCCCAAGCCTTCAGTACCTTTGACAGGAAGGGAGTGAGGACTGAAGTGTCAACTTCAGTCTGGTCTGTCCTGATGGGAAGGGATATGCCCTGGTTGGGAACTCCTTAGGATCAGGGAAAGGTTTACATATAAAAGGAGGGAAGAAAATGGGGGCTATAAAGGAGGGAAGAAAGGGGATCTTATTGCAGATGGCTGACTCAGTCAGTCAGTAATAATAAGGAAACAATCCAAGTGTTGTAAAAGATCACCTGGCACTCTGTATCAGTACCACCTTAATGGCCCCACCCTAACTCCCTTTCCTATAAAAGTCCCTAGATGGATTCAGCAGGTGGTGTAGTGGTTAAGGTGCTGGACTCCCACATGGTCGACTGTGGTTCAATGCCCAGACCTCAAGGCTTGAAACTCTCACTGGGCAGGTGTGCATGTGTGCCCAAAATCCCAAGAGGAGAATGTAAGAGAAGAGATTGTGACATGGCCATCTTCCCTGGAAGTAACTTCTCATTCTCTCTCTCTCTCTCTCTCTCTTTGTGTGTTTGTGTGTGTGTCTGGCAAGTGCACATGACCTAGAGCAAAAATCTCTCTTAACAAAAGTCTCTAGCCTCTACTTTTCAGGGCCCAATACAACTCTCTATGTCTGGTCCCTTCTACTCCATGGGATAAATCTTTTCTATTTGCTTACTATCTTGAGTCTTTGATTTCTTTCACAGCCCACAACACAAACCACCCTAACATTTGTGACTGGCTTATTTCACTTAATCCTGGAGTTTATTTATGTTGTAAATCAGAATTTCCTTTTTTTTTAAAGGCTGAATAATATTCCATTGTGTTTATATACCACATTGTGTTTGTTCAGTTATCCACTAATGGGCAGTTGGGGCATTTCCAACTTATGACTATTGTGAATAATGCTACCATGATAATGACTATTAGATTCATTACAAGGGAATGCCACACTGAATGAATTTCCATGAAGGCTATTATACTTCTGTAAGTTGTTTGTAATGCCCTGGGAAAGTGTGGGTCACCTGCTCCAGGAAATGCTCTTCCTGACTGTGAGAGTCAAGGCCCAATGGCTGCAGATAAGACCAGCCCCAAATTCTCCCATGTGCACAAAACCCTTCCTTACCCTCCCCACCTGCTTCATGAGCCCTTACAAGTCGGCTGTCAGGTTTGTTCAGGGCCCAGGATTTAGAGTCTGAATATCCCTGGTTCTGCTGACATAATATACCTGAGTTCTACTCTCCAACTGGCACTTGGTCTCTTGGTGGTCTGTTTCTGCAACATTTCTAGTTCCTTGACCAGGCTTGGTAGAAGCCTTCACAATCAGGACAGAAAAGGCATGTGAGGTGGCCAAGGCTCTCCTCTGTGCCATGGACCGGCATTAATTACTGGAGCCAATTTTGGTCCTGCGTTTGTCTCTGAAATATCTCAAATAATGACTAAGGCACTGAGTCTAAAGTGGAATCTCTACACTGCATATCACCCCCAGAGTTCAGGACAAGTTGATCAAATGAACCGAATTCTCAATTCTACCCTGGTCAAATTGTGTCAGAATATAGATATGCCCTGGTTAGACTTACTTTCACTAGCACTCCTCCAGGTGCAGTGTATCCCTGGGAAACTTGGCTTTCAAGATCCTGTTTGGATAGCTCCTGCCTGTCTTGGCTAAGATCAAAGGAGATGTTTGGCAATTTGGGAAGTTGAACCTATCCTGTCACCTACAGGCACTAAGCAAATTTTTCCAAGGGATGACCCAACATAGGCTAGAAAGGACTCCACTCCCTCTAGGCAATTAGGTCCACCTGCACAGGCCAGGTCATACAGTCTGGGTAAAAAGTTGGAAAAAGGAACCCCTTCAGCCTACATGGATAAGATCATATGTTGTTCTCATCACTCCTACTGCCATTAAAGTTATCCTACCCCGTGGATACACTTTTATATACCACATTGTGTTTGTTCAGTTATCCACTAATGGGCAGTTGGGGCATTTCCAACTTATGACTATTGTGAATAATGCTACCATGATAATGACTATTAGATTCATTACAAGGGAATGCCACACTGAATGAATTTCCATGAAGGCTATTATACTTCTGTAAGTTGTTTGTAATGCCCTGGGAAAGTGTGGGTCACCTGCTCCAGGAAATGCTCTTCCTGACTGTGAGAGTCAAGGCCCAATGGCTGCAGATAAGACCAGCCCCAAATTCTCCCATGTGCACAAAACCCTTCCTTACCCTCCCCACCTGCTTCATGAGCCCTTACAAGTCGGCTGTCAGGTTTGTTCAGGGCCCAGGATTTAGAGTCTGAATATCCCTGGTTCTGCTGACATAATATACCTGAGTTCTACTCTCCAACTGGCACTTGGTCTCTTGGTGGTCTGTTTCTGCAACATTTCTAGTTCCTTGACCAGGCTTGGTAGAAGCCTTCACAATCAGGACAGAAAAGGCATGTGAGGTGGCCAAGGCTCTCCTCTGTGCCATGGACCGGCATTAATTACTGGAGCCAATTTTGGTCCTGCGTTTGTCTCTGAAATATCTCAAATAATGACTAAGGCACTGAGTCTAAAGTGGAATCTCTACACTGCATATCACCCCCAGAGTTCAGGACAAGTTGATCAAATGAACCGAATTCTCAATTCTACCCTGGTCAAATTGTGTCAGAATATAGATATGCCCTGGTTAGACTTACTTTCACTAGCACTCCTCCAGGTGCAGTGTATCCCTGGGAAACTTGGCTTTCAAGATCCTGTTTGGATAGCTCCTGCCTGTCTTGGCTAAGATCAAAGGAGATGTTTGGCAATTTGGGAAGTTGAACCTATCCTGTCACCTACAGGCACTAAGCAAATTTTTCCAAGGGATGACCCAACATAGGCTAGAAAGGACTCCACTCCCTCTAGGCAATTAGGTCCACCTGCACAGGCCAGGTCATACAGTCTGGGTAAAAAGTTGGAAAAAGGAACCCCTTCAGCCTACATGGATAAGATCATATGTTGTTCTCATCACTCCTACTGCCATTAAAGTTATCCTACCCCGTGGATACACTACACCTAGGTCAAGCCAGCAATGCCTCAAGAAGAGCCAGGAACTTGGATAGTTCAGAAACATCCAGACAAACCTTTGAGTGTGACATTCCAAAAGATAAAAATATGCATCCCAGCTGCAGCTAATCCTTAGCTAGCTGCTCGACATATGGCAGAAGCTTGAGAAATCTATAACCCTGCTTTGGTCACTCTGCAAGCTGACAAATATTTGCGCAGCAGAAGATTGAGGATGCATTTCCCCAGAAAACATGTATGAGCTGCCCTGAGTGTTCCCAGGCCATTTGTAATAACCCCTAAATCATAATCCCGTTTGTTGCATAACTCTCTTTGTTTTTTGTTATAGGCCTGGCTGTTACAGCCCTGACTGATTGGAAATGGGATGGAAATTTCCTGCTAACATTTCCCTACCCATCATGTATAGGAGGTTTCACCAATGTTTGGTTATAGTTATCCTGCTTCTTGCTGAGAGCCACCCCAAGTTTCCAGAGCAAGCTTGCCAGCCTGTTAAAAAAGGTATGAAGATGGTCAGGATGGGTGGCAAAGCAGTAAAAGACCTCCCAGGTCTCCCACCTCTCATCCTAGGAGGGACTAACCAATTAGTGTTGATAGCTAAAATGTTTGTTCAGGTGGCATGCTATGACCAAAAACAAGCTTAGAAATGTTTTAATGGTAACAAGACATACTGGAGGGTCCAATCAAAGGGAGAACATGCCAGATATCAATGACCACAAAGGGACAAGTATTTCTGCATAACTGTAACCACTCATTGAAGGTGTAGTGATGAGGGTGGGCTCCAAGACCAGGGTTTCAAGGGAGAGATTGAGAAGGTCATCCAACATGTCACACCAAAATAGCCAACCCCATGCCCACTACAAATTCCTCAACCCTGATGGCCCAACCCCCCAGTTAGATGCCAGAGTATTTCAGTTGATCAGTGCCACCTACCATTCACTGAACTTCACCTTTCCTGTGCTGACCAAAGGTTGCTAGTTACATCTACAATCTACCCTTTCCCAATACCTTGCCACCCTATATCAGAAATCAACTTCACCTAGGTGGCTCAGGCCAATTGCACCTCTGTCCTAATAGGCATAATAGTTACACATCTAAAACTCATGCATCCAGCAGGCAGTTGCCTTGATAATCTTACTGGTTGGATTGAAGAGGGCAGCCTCACAAAGATTACAATCAAACAACCTCCCTGGATGCCGGGGTCAAGCCTCGGCGGGGGTGGGTTATCTCATCGGAGGCAGTGCAGGAAGGAAAGACTGAGGCCTCGGCGCCATTTTCGTGCACATCTTCAGTCAGACACCCCCAGAGATTGCCCTCTGAAGAGTGACAACTGCTAGGAATTATAGTACCTTTTTATTGAAAATGTGATACATGCAAGTAAATGGGTGAGGGGCTACATGTTCTAATAATCAGTTCATAAAGTTTTAACAATAGGGAACATAGATTCCATTCAGGGTTGGATTAAGGGCAAGTCTATTACAGTTCAGCAATTGTTTGTTTGTTGTAGGCAGGTCTTTGGGAACTTCATGGAATGCTGTTTTGGGAAATAGCCTCCAGCAAGCAGAGTTAATTATCAGTTGATGCTCAGTGGCAGCCATCTTGTGATTACTGAGTACTATGCTAAGAAGAGAAAATCTCAAGTATAGGTATTAGTTATTATGGATCTCAATAAAGAATGATACTTATATAATTTTATAGGGATCTAAAACTTAATTTAAGGAAACCTAATATATTTATCTATTTCACTTGATGAGGGGGCGGGTGTCCTGGGCCAGTTTCGGCCTAATCCTATTTTATGTAAAGAAAAGATTATTTTTAAGCTTATGTTAAATGTATCTTGAAGGGCCTTCCAAAGATCAAGAAGATTATTTCTGCCTAGATAGAACTTCAGCACGCCCTCTATTGTGACCGCAGGGATGAAGCATTGTAATTAACAGTAGGTGGTCAGGATTCTCAATTCTACCCTGGTCAAATTGTGTCAGAATATAGATATGCCCTGGTTAGACTTACTTTCACTAGCACTCCTCCAGGTGCAGTGTATCCCTGGGAAACTTGGCTTTCAAGATCCTGTTTGGATAGCTCCTGCCTGTCTTGGCTAAGATCAAAGGAGATGTTTGGCAATTTGGGAAGTTGAACCTATCCTGTCACCTACAGGCACTAAGCAAATTTTTCCAAGGGATGACCCAACATAGGCTAGAAAGGACTCCACTCCCTCTAGGCAATTAGGTCCACCTGCACAGGCCAGGTCATACAGTCTGGGTAAAAAGTTGGAAAAAGGAACCCCTTCAGCCTACATGGATAAGATCATATGTTGTTCTCATCACTCCTACTGCCATTAAAGTTATCCTACCCCGTGGATACACTACACCTAGGTCAAGCCAGCAATGCCTCAAGAAGAGCCAGGAACTTGGATAGTTCAGAAACATCCAGACAAACCTTTGAGTGTGACATTCCAAAAGATAAAAATATGCATCCCAGCTGCAGCTAATCCTTAGCTAGCTGCTCGACATATGGCAGAAGCTTGAGAAATCTATAACCCTGCTTTGGTCACTCTGCAAGCTGACAAATATTTGCGCAGCAGAAGATTGAGGATGCATTTCCCCAGAAAACATGTATGAGCTGCCCTGAGTGTTCCCAGGCCATTTGTAATAACCCCTAAATCATAATCCCGTTTGTTGCATAACTCTCTTTGTTTTTTGTTATAGGCCTGGCTGTTACAGCCCTGACTGATTGGAAATGGGATGGAAATTTCCTGCTAACATTTCCCTACCCATCATGTATAGGAGGTTTCACCAATGTTTGGTTATAGTTATCCTGCTTCTTGCTGAGAGCCACCCCAAGTTTCCAGAGCAAGCTTGCCAGCCTGTTAAAAAAGGTATGAAGATGGTCAGGATGGGTGGCAAAGCAGTAAAAGACCTCCCAGGTCTCCCACCTCTCATCCTAGGAGGGACTAACCAATTAGTGTTGATAGCTAAAATGTTTGTTCAGGTGGCATGCTATGACCAAAAACAAGCTTAGAAATGTTTTAATGGTACCAAGACATACTGGAGGGTCCAATCAAAGGGAGAACATGCCAGATATCAATGACCACAAAGGGACAAGTATTTCTGCATAACTGTAACCACTCATTGAAGGTGTAGTGATGAGGGTGGGCTCCAAGACCAGGGTTTCAAGGGAGAGATTGAGAAGGTCATCCAACATGTCACACCAAAATAGCCAACCCCATGCCCACTACAAATTCCTCAACCCTGATGGCCCAACCCCCCAGTTAGATGCCAGAGTATTTCAGTTGATCAGTGCCACCTACCATTCACTGAACTTCACCTTTCCTGTGCTGACCAAAGGTTGCTAGTTACATCTACAATCTACCCTTTCCCAATACCTTGCCACCCTATATCAGAAATCAACTTCACCTAGGTGGCTCAGGCCAATTGCACCTCTGTCCTAATAGGCATAATAGTTACACATCTAAAACTCATGCATCCAGCAGGCAGTTGCCTTGATAATCTTACTGGTTGGATTGAAGAGGGCAGCCTCACAAAGATTACAATCAAACAACCTCCCTGGATGCCGGGGTCAAGCCTCGGCGGGGGTGGGTTATCTCATCGGAGGCAGTGCAGGAAGGAAAGACTGAGGCCTCGGCGCCATTTTCGTGCACATCTTCAGTCAGACACCCCCAGAGATTGCCCTCTGAAGAGTGACAACTGCTAGGAATTATAGTACCTTTTTATTGAAAATGTGATACATGCAAGTAAATGGGTGAGGGGCTACATGTTCTAATAATCAGTTCATAAAGTTTTAACAATAGGGAACATAGATTCCATTCAGGGTTGGATTAAGGGCAAGTCTATTACAGTTCAGCAATTGTTTGTTTGTTGTAGGCAGGTCTTTGGGAACTTCATGGAATGCTGTTTTGGGAAATAGCCTCCAGCAAGCAGAGTTAATTATCAGTTGATGCTCAGTGGCAGCCATCTTGTGATTACTGAGTACTATGCTAAGAAGAGAAAATCTCAAGTATAGGTATTAGTTATTATGGATCTCAATAAAGAATGATACTTATATAATTTTATAGGGATCTAAAACTTAATTTAAGGAAACCTAATATATTTATCTATTTCACTTGATGAGGGGGCGGGTGTCCTGGGCCAGTTTCGGCCTAATCCTATTTTATGTAAAGAAAAGATTATTTTTAAGCTTATGTTAAATGTATCTTGAAGGGCCTTCCAAAGATCAAGAAGATTATTTCTGCCTAGATAGAACTTCAGCACGCCCTCTATTGTGACCGCAGGGATGAAGCATTGTAATTAACAGTAGGTGGTCAGGTCGGGGGACTTTCAAGAAATCTTATTACATACTCAAGATGTATGAGAGAGCTATGTAATTGTTTTACAGTAGTATATCAGGGAGTCAGAGGGGGTCGCTTCCCAG